TAAAGAAGCTGAAATTGAACAGTTCTATGAAGACCTACAAGACCTTCTAGAACTAACACCCAAAAAAGATGTCCTTTTCATCATAGGGGACTGGAATGCAAAGTAGGAAGTCAGGAAACACCTGGAGTAACAGGCAAATTTGGCCTCGGAGTACAGAATGAAGCAAGGCAAAGGCTAACAGAGTTTTGCCAAGAGAACATACTGGTCATAACAAATACCCTCTTCCAACAACACAAGAGAAGACTCTACACATGGACATCACCAGATAGTCAATACCGAAATCAGATTGATTATATTCTTTGCAGCCAAAGATGGAGAAGCTCTATACAGTCAGCAGAAACAAGACAAGAGCTGACTGTGGCTCAGATCATGAACTCCTTATTGCCAAATTCAGACTTAAATTGAAGAAAGTAGGGGAAAACCACTAGACCATTCAGCTATGAACTAAATCAAATCCCTTATGATTATGTGGTGGAGGTGACAAATAGATTCAAGGGACTAGATCTGATAGAGTGACTGAAGAACTATGGACAGAGGTTCATGACATTGTACAGGAAGCAGTGATCAAGACCCCAAGAAAAAGAAATGCAAAAAGGCAAAATGGCTGTCTGAGGAGGCCTTACAAATAGCTAAGAAAAGAAGAAAAGCAAAAGGCAAAGGAGAAAAGAAAAGATACACCCATTTGAATGCAGAGTTCCAAAGAATTGCAAGGAGAGGTAAGAAAACCTTCCTTAGTGATCAGTGCAAAGGAATAGAGGAAAACAAGAGAATGGGAAAGACTAAAGATTTCTTCAAGAAAATTAGAGATACCAAGGGAATGTTTCATGCAAAAATGGGCACAAGAAAGGACAGAAGTGGTATGGACCTAACAGAAGCAGAAGATATTAAGAAGAGGTGGCAAGAATACACAGAAGAACTATACAAAAAAGATTTTCACGACCCAGATAACCATGATGGTATGATCATTCACCTAGAGCCAGACATTCTGGAATGAAAAGTCAAGTGGGCCTTAGGAAGCATCACTACAAACACAGCTAGTGAAGGTGATGGAATTCCAGTTGAGCTATTTCAAATCCTAAAAGATGATGCTGTGAAAGGGCTACATTCAATAAGCCAGCAAACTTGGAAAACTCAGGAATGGCCACAGGACTGGAAAAGATCAGTTGTCATTCCAATTCAAGAGAAGGGCAATACCAAAGAATGCTCAAACTACCACACAATTATACTCATCTCACATGCTAGCAAAGTAATGCTCAAAATTTTCCAAGCCAGGCTTCAACAGTATGTGAACTGTGAACTTCCTGATGTTCAAGCTGGATTTAGAAAAGGCAGAGGAACCAGCGATCAAACTGCCAACATCCTTTGGATCATAGAAAAAGCAAGAGAATTTCAGAAAACATCTACTTCTACTTTATTGACTATGCCAAAGTCTTTGGCTGTGTAGATCACAACAAACTGTGGAAAATTCTTTAAGAGATGGGAATACCAGACCACCTTACCTGCCTCCTGAGAAACCTGTATGCAGGTCAAGAAGCAACAGTTAGAACTGGACATGGAAAAACAGACTGGTTCCAAGTTGGGAAAGGAGTACATCAAGGCTGTATATTGTCACCCTGCTTATTTAACTTATATGCAGAGTACATCATGAGAAATGCTGGACTGGATGAAGTACAGGCTGGAATCAAGATTTCCAGGAGAAATATCAATAACTTCAGATATGCAGATGACACCACCCTTATGGCAAAAATTGAAGAAGAACTAAAGAGCCTCTTGATCAAATTGAAAGAGGAGAGTGAAAAATTTGGCTTAAACTCAACATTCAGAAACCTAAGATCATGGCATCTGGTCCCATCACTTAATGGCAAATAGATGAGGAAACAATGGAAACAGTGACAGACTTTATTTTCTTGGACTCTATAATCACTTCTGATGGTGACTGCAGCCATGAAATTAAAAGATGCTTGATCCTTGGAAGAAAAGCTATGATCAACCTAGACATCATATTACCTTGCTGACAAAGGTCCTTCTAGTCAATGCTATAGTTTTTCCAGTAGTCATGCATAGATGTGAGAGTTGGACTATAATGAAAGCTGAGTGCCAAAAAATTGATGCTTTTGAACTGTGGTATCAGTGAAGACTCTTGAGAGTCCCTTGGACGGCCATATCAAACCAGTCAATCCTAGAGAAAATCAGTCCTGAATATTCATTGGAAAGACTGATGCTGAAGTTGTTGCTCCAATACTTTGGCCACCTGATGCGAAGAACTGACTGCTTAGAAAGATTGAAGGTGGGAGGAGAAGGGGACAACAGAGGATGAGATGGTTGGATGGCATCACTGACTCCATGGACATGAGTTTGAACAAGCTCCAGGAGATAATGAAGGACAGGGAAGCCTGGCATGTTGCAGTCCATGGGGTTGCAAAGAGTCGGACACAACTGAGCGACTGAACTGAACTGATTATTTGATTAAAAACAAGACCCAGATTCTCTTATAGCTGATACCTAGAACTATCATAATCTAATATTACCACAAAAGTAAGTTTTTATTGTTCTAACTTATTCTCTTCTAAGAAAATATTTTTTTAAACATCTAGTACATTTTATTTGTTAAAGCACTTTCATGCAGACTATATTTCAAGTTTTTGTCAGGGAGATAAAGTAAGTAAATATGAACTTACAATTAAATCACTTATTCCCCTTCATATCACTAACCAAAAAAATACAATAGAACAAATGCAAAATCACAATAGCAATAAAATATAAACCATCTAGGAACTAACATATTGAATGCACAAGACCCTTAAAGATAAAAGTAAAGCTTTTAATAATAAAGATATTATAATTGGATATTCTTAATAAAAAAAAGGAATCTTGACCCCACCTCACACCCTATACACACACATGATGGTTTATAAATCTAAGTGTAAAAGGCAATACAATGAAGCTTCTAAAATAATATAGGAGGGTTTCTTCATGAGCTTGAAAAATGCTATCTATAAAGGAAAAAAAGATAAATTGGACCAAATTAAGATTAACAACCTTCTCTACATCAAAGGCCACCATTAAAAGAGTGAAAAGCCACAAATCGAAAGATTGTAATACATATATTTGATAATAATGCATACCCAGAATATATATAGTCCTACAGTTTAATGAGGCAAGACAATTCAACTCTAAAAAGGGTTAAATACTTAAACAGGCAGTTTATGAAAGAAGAATGGTCATCAAACTGACAAGAAAGTACTCAATTTCATTAATACCAGGAACATGCAAAATAAAACCATTATATGATATCACTATACACTTATTAAAATGGATAAAATGCAAAAGTAAGTGTTGATGAAGATGTGGAACAACTAGAACCTTCATGCTGGAATTGTAAATGGGAACAACTATGATACAACTTAGGGATGAAACAACAACAACAAACAACTATTTTGGAAAACTTCTGGCCATATCTAGTAAAGCTGACTACAGGCAAACTAAAGCAAAGGCAAACTCCACAACTGAGCACTTTTAGTCATAGACCCAACAGAAATACATACACTTGTTCACCAAAAGATATTTACAAGAATGTTCATAGCAGCACTATTTTTAGTAGTCCCAAACTGGAAACAACCCAAATATATATCACAGTGGGTAAATTGTGGTATATTCATACAATGGAATACTACAGAGCAATGGGAGTAAACAAACTCAACTACATACAACAGAATAGGTGAATCTCACAAAGACAATGTTGAGTGAATGATGCCAGACTCAAGTATATACTGCATGATTTCAATTTTATAAAGCTCAAAAATAAGCTAAATAGAAATCAGGACAGTGGTAATGGAGGACAGAGGGGATAGTGTAGGCTTAGATAAACACTAGGAGGGTAGGTAAGGGTGGCTGCTAGAGTTCTCATGTTTTCTTATTTGGGTGCTGCTTACATAGGGCTTTCCAGGTGGCTCAGTGGTAAAGAATCCACCTGCTGATGCAGGAGATGTGGGTTTCATCTCTGGGCCACGAAGATCCCTGGCAACCGACTCCAGTATTCCTGCCTGGGAAATCCCATGGATGGAGGGGCCTGGCAGGTTACGGTCCCAGGGTCGCAGAGTTGGACATGACTGAGCAATTGAGCGCACACATACACCGCTTACATAAGTGGGTTTACTTTGTTAAAATTAGTCAAGGTGTATACTTACAATCTGTACACTTTATGTCTATTATATCTATTAAAAGTTTAGATGAGAGAGAAAAAGGAAAACATTCTGGATTCTAGATCTCAAAAGAAGCAGAACTATAAATGAAAATTTTTAACTTAAAAATCACTAAAAGGGACATAAATGAAAATCTAAAAAATTGGTGAAAAAATGTTCATGGTTGGGATAATTTAACATTAAGATAAGTGGACTCTCTAAATATGTAAATTCAATATAATTTCATAATGACTTTTGAGGAATTCAACTAATATTCTAAAACATATACTGAATAATAAAGGTGAATAAACAGCCAAGACAATTTTGAAAAACAAAAGCAGATAAGAGTCCTTATCAAATATAATGAAATACTACAAAATGTGTTTCTGTGACAGAAGCAGACTAATGGGATACTACAGAAGCAGACCCACATATATAAGAAGTTAAGGAAGAACGGGTTGTTTAATAAATAATTGTTGGGAAGACTGAACGTTTTCTAAGAAGACTAATAATGAAGGTGGCTCCCTACCTTAAATCAAATTAAAAGGTAAATACCATACAGTTGAAATACCTAAACTGAAATACCTAAAAAAGAAGCTATAAGGCAAACTGAAGAAAAATGATTCAAAGTGCACAAACCACAAGACGAAAAACTGTGGACTAAGAGAATTTGTTCAACAAAACACAGCATAAACAAAGTTAACTGGATGACTTCTTTCACAGTTTATCAACGGCTACTTACCTGGAAAGATGAGAGAATCTGTATATCCTTCCATGTGAGCCCTTGTGATTTGTTCAGGTTGTAGGGTAAGCTTTCTTTTAATCAACCCAAGGAGGATCAGAGTGACCGAACAAAGCAAGTTCTAACGGCAGGAAGCAGAATCGCGATGCTCTGGAAGTTCCTTTCTGCGCGGTCCCTTCTGTCGCTGGAGGGTCCTGGGGCAGCCCTTCAATGTAGGTGCTCTGCAACAAGTCGGCTAAGACAGGCTGACCCCGGAGCTTTTGCAGTCTCTCCCCTATGGCACTGGTCAGGTCTCCGTAAGCCTCGACAAGGTTGGCACGTTCAATGATAGCAAAAGGAGACCTCACGTCTCCATTGGTTTCCCGGTAATTGGTGAGGCCAGCATTCCCACGGGGCTCACGAATTCGTGCCAGTAGACTATCTGGACGTAAAACTTCTTAGCATCATCTGCCCACATATCTCTAGTGACCCCAAGCGCACGAGCTTTATAATGTCCTACAATTGCTCCATCCAGACTTGCATGATTTATACTGTACAACCGCACGCGGGTTAGTCCTCCAAACAGGATTTTGTCATTGCGAAACATGAACAGAAAAAAAAAAAGAGTCCACGTCCACCTGAGCAATGGTCCTGTCCCTCAGACACTTTTCAAGGTGACAAACATCTGACAAAACCGCAACTCGTGGATGCCACCGATGCCGGGCTCCGTGTCCACTGGTTTTAGATAGCCGTTTCCTTTCTGGTAGCAGGCCAGTTGCTTTCAAGAGAGATTTATTCCCCAAAACGACAGAAGAAAGAACCAAGGGCTGAAAAGACTCTCCGTGCCAGCAGACTGCACAGCTGGGCAGGCTCAGCTGAGGCCACGCGCTCAGCTGATCACCATCCTGATGAGCCCGGAGGGCGCACGCGTGCCGCCAAGCTTTGACAAGCCTGCGCATTGCGCCCCTCGGTCTCCCCGGATGCCTTCTAAATGTTCTGTTTCCGTGCCATAATGAACTCTGCCCTCCATACTCTCAACTATTCTAATGAACCACAATTGTTATTATATTTTGGCTTGGATGTTTGAATCATCACAGTATTATGAGTAGCAGTTCTTTCAGTTGGATCTGTTGTCATTTCACCACATGCTATCATCTTAGAAAAGTCTTGTTCTTCTATAACCATAGGACGTTCCGTCACCACCCTATTTGTTTCTGTTCTAAAACATGGATCTTCCAAGGAGTCCTGGTTCATTTGAGTGTGATTTGAAACTTATGAGGATTTATGATGGCAAGCTGTGTATACAGGTGCTGCTGCCTCAGTAGGTGAAAGGCTTTTAATAGAAAGGCTGGGAAATACCATTTTTAAAAGTGTGCGCTCTTACATCGGATTTCTTTCTAAATGAAAATATTTTAATAATATAAATTCTTTTGCTGCAGTGGCAATATGGATCAAATTGCATGAATGGATTTCATAAGCCAAGGCTTGCTTCTATTCAGAATCAATATTCTCTGAGATGCTGTTCTAGTGAGAGAGTCATGTGCACTAATTAGACACATGTCTGAGGTTAAGACTGATCCTACCTTCTCTGAATCTTCAGTGAGTGGATACTGACACAGAGCATTGAAATGGGTCCTTCCACAGGCCATCCCTTGAAGACATAATCTGTTAATGCCCCTTTCCTAATTTCTTGGAGCATCTTTGATCCTAATCTTCCCAAGGACTGATTGTTCACTTTTTCATTAGAGTCTGTAATTTATTTTTTATAATTGTTATTGTTATGTTGCTTAAGTTAACCAGAGTCTGTTTCTGTCATCTGCAACCAAATAATCCTAAGTAATGCACTTTTCTTTGTGGGTGAGTATGTGGGTTGCCAGTAACTTCTACCGTAACCATGGTAGGTGATTCTGAAAATTATTCACATGTTGACATAATCAGTTTACTTAGAGAAGATTTCAGTCAGTAACGAGGAATATGGGAAAAACTTGGGTCTTTTTTATTCGCAAAACAGGCTGTTTTTTTAATGCACATTTTGTTTTTCTATTTGTTTTGTTTGTAGGTATAATCATTTTCAGAGTTATTTATTTTTATGTGAAAAAGATTACTCACAATTTGTCATTTTCAGAAAGTAAGCACATAAGACATTCTTTGAGGGAAAGTTTTGCCTAACTTAATCACCCTGCCCCTAATGTTATCTGAAGTTGTATATCTTGTATATACAACACAGCCTCTGTCTTCACAAGGAAGAAGGCCAGAGATACCTTCTGCATTGTTTTCTTTGATGTCTTAGTGTGTAAATTTGTTCATAGACAATGATTATAGGCCATCAGATATTTGAACTCGTTTGAGTTGAACTACATGATTTCTACCAGCAAGGATGCTGTGTTTTCCCTATCTGTGAAGTACTTTTCTCATTTCCTGTGTTCAGTAAATGATAATGACTGACCTTAAATTTTGTGGGACTCAAGTGCTAGGTAAGCAATAAATAATAGCGGTGATTCCATGAGATCACAATCTAGGTAGGGTGCTGTTGGCATTTTTCAGCATTTCATTGTTGGTTCAGTTTTCAGTTTTCAAGTTGCTAATTCAATCTTCAGATTATGTATAGTAAGCTATTCCAAATCATAGGTATAATAGTGGCTACAATTTATTGAATATACTATGCTAGGTACTGTATCGGGTGGTTTGTAAAAAGTGCATTATATTTTTACCAATATCCTGGGTAAATACTGTCATCATTTTATACACAAGGGAAATGGGATTCAGAGATCTCTGATTTTATAAAGATTCCCTATTCTATTTTTTGACAATTTATTCAAATGACAGATATCCTAGTCCTGCATAGTTCACATAGGAGTGTTCATAAATAAGGGGATAAACACAATATGTGCCCATGTAGTCCATGTTTCAATGATTTTCAAAGCTCAAACTCTTTACCCCTATTCTTTGATCAGATACAGCATTCAACTCCTTTTCAACTGCTTCTGAAGTCACCCTTGATCTTTTCCTCTTTTTCTTCCTTTATGTTAATCAGTTATCATCTTATCAAAAACATATTTTGAATATGACTATTTTTTCTTCCTATTGTCACTGCCATACTTTATTACTCTTATCTGGTCATCTCAATAATGGGATTACTGCAACAGTATTCTGTCTGTACCTAAAAAGAAATGTCTCAGGTAATTTATCTTATCCAGGCCTCTGGGAGACATGGACATTTTGGAATGAGTTATGGTCCTAGAGGTGTATAGAGCAGAGTGTGGTTGGGTGATAATGGGTGATCACAGACTTGGATGAGAGATCATCTGTGGGGAAAGAGTACAGATTGGGTTGATTCATTTTAGTGGTAGGCTAAAATCATTTTGGAACCTTTTGAACCAAGGGTGAGAGATTAAATCAGTAAACAGGAAATGGAGCTGCTTTTGGATTTGGGCATAAAAGATCAGTGTGCTACAATTTTGAGGCTAAGAGAAGGTGTTAAGAGAACAATAAAAAATCAGCAATATATTAGGAAAAAAGAGCAAGATAAAGTTGGAGAGGTAAGATGGTTCCTTTCCTAACATTTATCATGTTCTATGGAGGACCTGTTTGTTGAATTATACAAAGGCCATACTCTTATATATATTGTATAAAGGTCTTCTCAGGTTGAGGGTAGATTCAAAGTGGCTGGGACAAATAGACCTTTAGGAGCCAAGGGCTTGAGGTCTAAGCATAAGTTCTTTGAGTTTTGTAATGCCCTTTGGTTATAACTTTTTCTCAGCCAGAGATTGGGAAGTAGCCAATATTATGCCCAAGCAGGTCATGCCCATTTTGGACTGTCCAAAGGCAGAATAAAAGATATGTAAAAAGATCAGGTGATATTTTAAAAAAGATAAAATTAAAGAAGGCAGCTTCATATGAAAAAAACCTGATAAGCAGAGAGATCATTCATCCTACGTAAAAAAACAATGTTAGGTGTATTCCACAAGGCTGTGGGTGATAGTTGTTGCTAAATCACTGTGGATTATATCAGCTAGGGTACTCGATTATTGTGTAGTAGGTAGAGTCTTGGGGAACAAGAACAAATAGTGGATTCTCTATCAAATAGCACTCTTAGCCTGGGAGAGGAACGCTGTGGGTCTCTCATAGCCAGAATGAAACAGTATTTCATTGAAAACATTCTCACTCTAAACTCACAGGGATTCTGATTTCTAAATTGGTTTCAATTAAATATTTTTTTCCCTTCGAAGAAAACAACGTATACCTATAATCTCTTCTAACTATTGGCAGATCTGTGATGCTATAGCACTCCACACCTTCCCAGTGGCTGCAATTACACACATCAAATTTCAGGATGGACGACAAGGTAAGATTCTGGAGGTAAAAGGCTACCACTTATGGTCTCCATTTTGCTCTCATATGTCACAGCCTTTTATTGTCAGGAGTTATTTAGAGAAACAGTCATCAGCTAACAAAACCATCGGTTAGTTAACAACAGCAAATATGAGGCTATTTCTAAATAGCTAGGGGCATTTCAAGTTAAGGGCAGACGAGTGCCAACTATTTTTTCCCTTCAGTCTTTCCTTGTTAAAAAAGAATACATTTGTTATCAAAGCCAGTTTGGCTAATGTGCTTTCACCTCATACATATCTAGAAATCAAAGCTGCCTAGAAAGTTATTTGAGGGTATGTTCTCCCTTTGGAGCCCATCTTGCTCCAGTCATGCTAATGGGAATTTCATGTGTGTGTCAAGAGGACAATATAGCCTTTATGCAATTCAACCAACACGTCGTACTCGGAACATGGTAAATGTTAGGAAAGCAAAAATGGTCTCACTGGACAGATTTAGTAAAATTCATCACCTTTGTGCTTGTCTGCACTACTCCATTACGTTTTCCATCTGGGGGAGGAGGGGTGGTAGATGAAGAATCTCTGTAGTCCTCCTTTACCCTTGCCAGATAGTTTCCCAAATCAGCTAAATATAACTCCATTTATTGTCATGCTAAAATGTTCTATTTAGCTGTATTTAACTGGATATCATGATTCCATGGACTGACCTTTCGCTCCTGGGAAGTCGTTTTAAATTCAATCCCGGCAAAGGAAAATCCTTCCAATTCGTTGGCTGTGAAAGGTCACAAGTGAAATGTGTTTTGATGGTATCTATCTGTGGCTTAATTCTCAGTAAACCTGAGTACTAACTGGGCCTCAATTGTGCTTTGTCTTGGGAACCTGAGTTCTAAGAAGCCTGGGAGAGCTGAGTGGGAGACGTGGGGCTGAGTTGCTGGCATCAGCCAAGGGTACACAAAGGTACCAGCTGAAAGGTAAGGTATATGGTGCTTAGTCAATGCTGCCTTCTTTCTGAGCTGATGGGGGGTTCAGACTAAAATATATAGTTTCTCTCCCTGTTTCATTTGATCTGTTTAAAGAGGGGCATTTCCCACTTTCTGGGAGGCAAAGAGGGCTTAGGGTGAGATAGAGGAGGAACTAGAAGTGTGTGAACTAGTCAAGAGGAAATTGGAGTATCTTGAAAATTAAACCATTTCAGGGCCCAGATCATAAACTCAGTCTCCCAAGTTTGGCTATTTCCCTTCTACAGCTTCTTTCTCTTCATAATTTAGTAGCACGTCAGTCTCCAGTGAGCTCTTCACCATCATCATTTTGCTGACACTTAACTGAATTAAAGTACTTTTGTTACATCTTATCAAAGAATCTTACCCTCATTTAAAAAATTGCATTTTACCAAGCAATATTAGTAGTTCTGGCAGACTTTTGAAGAGTTCAGTGGATGGAATATTGAGGTGAAGTTTCTGGATTTTTGTTTTATTTTTACTCTATCTCAACTTTTTAGTGACTCCATAATCATTCAGTCAGCATGCATAATATCTGTCTCCTTCTAACTTAGAAAGAAGCTCTGAGAACAGTCTGTCCTCCCAGTCCCCCATTCCTTTATCACACACACATTGTGCTCTCTGCCAGGAAGGAGTCAATGTTTCCTGAACACAACCTGCAATTCTATACTTCCATGCCAATGTTTATGTTGCTTCCTTCTCCTGGAATGTCTTCATTTTTTCATGAAAGTTCTATTCATGCAGAAAGGCCAAAATGTCACTCCTGTAAAGCCTTCAAAAGGCTTCTCTCTTCTCACCTGTGTCAAAGGCAAGCATGCCTTCCATAACATTATGTCTATGCATCTATTGTACTTGGATATTCTATTGTGGTGTATCTCTGTCTCCCACTCAAACCAACTCCCTGAGGGCAGAAGCTGGGTCTTCTTCATCTTTGTGCCCCAGTGCTTAGCTCAGGGATTAGTCTAAGAAGAGGAGTCTTTAGCCATCCTATCACAGGAGTATGAACAGTTAGGCCTTTGATATCAAGGTGAAGAAATGAAGTGATATTTCTTACAGTAAATGTATCTCGAGAGTTCATAGTAGCCATAGGAATAAACAGAAAGCAAAAAACTCATTCTCTAAAAGCAGTTCTCTGCAAAAAATGAGACAAATTCTGCTTCCCTTTTTCTTTCTTTTTTGTGTTGTTAGTTCTTAGAAATATCTGGTTGCAAGGAGAACTCTTAGGATGCTGACACTGAGTTCAGATGGAGAGAAATGGAGGGGACTCTAAAGGTGGAGTGGAGGCAGTTAAACTGGGCTTCATTTCCCTGGCTTCTCATTTTCTTCTCCCTTCCTAGGTCTTCCACCCAGAAGACTGCAGGACAGCTCTGATTCCTGAGATTTCTTGAAAGAGAAAACAATATATGACATGTTGACCCCTGAGTTCGGCAGAAACAGCACTTGGTGATCCAGGTGCAGTTGGTAGAGCAATTTCTTGCTCTGCTTCCTTTACCATCAATGACATCTGGCATTTAGTAACCCAGGGTGGTCCTGGGTATCCATATCAGCTCCAAATGGCAGCATTCTCTGTCCCTCCAGGAGGCGAGTTTCTCAGATACTGATCCAACCTGTTGTATCTGTCAGGATTGTTGATTGTAAGAATCCAGTAAAGCTGGTATAAGAAGAAAAGCTACCCAACCTTCTGGTGACTTTCTAGTAGTTGTGTAGCATTCTGGCTTGAATGCTACACAACTAGGAACAATGGGCAGTTATGCTTCAAGGCCCTTTACTCACAAAAGTACTACTCCTAACATCCCATGCTTCTGCCCCATGGAGACGAGACACCAGGACCTTCACCTTTTCTGCCTTCCAAGGCTTGGACACATTTGCCACATGTTCTCTAGAAGGTGGCTTTCACAGGCCTTCTTCTTTATGTTGTATTCTTTTGAGAAAAAGTCTCTCATGGTTGCATTTGATAGGTGGATTTTAGGTCTCATGCATATGTCTTAGCAGTTAAGTTGTTGGGGAGACTTGTTTTCTAGTTTCTACCTTGAGGAGTTGAAACTCATAAGTGAAAACGTTTTCCAAGTATTTCAGGGTTCTCAAAAGGTGCTGAGCAACTAGAAAATATGACAAAAATCTATTATATCCTGTAGGGTATTAATATTTTTATTTTAACCAATATAAAACCATCTGACATTATTATACTAATTTCCTTAGTCTGTCTGATAACTTAATGGTGTGTGAAGCTTTTTTCTGGGGTTTAGGCTTAGATTACCTTTCCCATTCCTGATATCCCTCTTCCTAAAGAAGAGCTTTGCTCTTCATTATCTTCCTCATATTGTCTCTTCTCCCAGATTCATTCTCCCATGTGTTGGTATTAGTGACCTTGATGCATGACATGTGTCTTCTGATGGGAACCCTACATACCATGGGCATGGCCCAGCTTTGAGATGGGACCTTCAGTTGCCAATAATTTTCTGAGTCAAGCTTCAGCTTATGACTCTGAATACAATATTCTTGATTCTCTGGGTTGCCTTTTAAGACCAACTACTAGGACCAATTCAGTTTACCTTAGTCCTGAGCTCAAGTCTTTGTGAGAAGATCTTAGCTCCAATATAGCTTGATTTTTCTCTATGCTTACTCCATCTTGACAAGGGTCAGTACACCTTGCTTGTAAAAAGTAGATATAAAAATGGAGAGCTGCCAATGCAGATTTTTCAAATTAAAATAAGTTTGTTTATGCTGTCCAGTGATTTCCATTATGCTATGAGTTCTTCAACATCTAGAATCATATCTTAATCATTAATCATCTCTGTACTCCCAGTGCTAAGCATAGCATCTGACATGCAGCAGGCTTGCAATTCAATTTGAATGAATGAATAAGTGAATGCAAACTGCATAAAGGCCACCAGTATATTTCAGTATCACAGACTGATCATTCATTTATTTAGCAAACAGCCTGTGAGAAGTTGCTTTTGTGTGCAAAGCACTGTACTAGATACTTTGGAAATCTGAAATAGCCCTAGTGTTAATAATTACAACCATAGGCAACATTTATTGCATACTTACCAGATGAAAAGCACTGTTAACTGTTCCATGAACATTCATCTAGTTCTCACAACAACCCTGTGAGGCAAGCATACTATTATTATTATTCCCAGTTACAAGGGGAAGAATTGATTCTCAGAAAGGTTAAGTAAATGAAAACAAGTTGGGGATATGATGTTTACATATAGAGTTGGGAAGGTACAAGAGCCATCTGGAATGTCTTGAATATCACAGGGCAACGCATTTGCAGTACTCAAATTCTGTTCAAAGAGCCCTTGAGTACTAAATGGATACAGCTGGGGAATCAGAACTTACCTGGTGACCTTTAAGCAACCTGAATTTTAGGACTAAAGGACTCTGGTTTATTCATTCATCCATTCATTCAAAAAACTTGAATGGTATGCCTGTTGTGTGCTAGGAACTGTCCAGAGCAGTAGGGGCAGGGCAGGTGCAGCTGGGAGACAAACATGTCAATAGATCATTGCAGTTCATAATAAGAGCTATAGCAGAGGTGTGAATATATTTCAAAGGAAATATGTTTTTATCTTTCATATTTCCAACATTTCGCTATTAAGTATGGAATTTGCAGTAGGTGCTTATTGTTGCTTTCTATTAAATTAGAAAGAGTCCTTTTATTCTTAGTTTGCTAAGGGTTAAAAAAAATCATAAGTGGATTTACATTTATTTAAAATGATTTTCCTGCATCTATTCAGATGAACTTTCTATATCTGTGGAGATTATTTATCTTCTTTTACTTATTAATGTGGATACCTAACCACTGTCTGTTATGAATATTTTCTAACAGTAAACCAACCTTGCATTTTTAGGGTAAAACATACTTTTATACTTTTATAGACCTATTCATATTTTCTTTGATTTAAATTAAAAAAATTCTCTGTTCACACTTATTACATTGCATATTCATAGAATGTATCTATATATTAAAATTTATTAGAGTAGAATTATTCATACTAAATTTATTATCTTTTAAAGTGGAAAATTCTGAGAGAGATGGGAATACCAGACCACCTGACCTGCCTCTTGAGGAATCTGTATGCAGGTCAGGAAGCAACAGTTAGAACTGGACATGGAACAACAGACTGGTTCCAAATAGGTAAAGGAGTACATTAAGGCTGTATATTGTCACCTTGGTTATTTAACTTATATGCAGAGTACATCATGAGAAATGCCTGGCTGGAGGAGGCACAAGCTGAAATCAAAATTGCAGGGAGAAATATCAATAACCTCAGATATGCAGATGACACCACCCTTATGGCAGAAAGCAAAGAACTAAAGAGCCTCTTGATGAATGTGAAAGAGGAGAGTGAAAAAGTTGGGTTAAAGCTCAACATTCAGAAAACTAAGATCATGGCATCTGGTCCCATCACTTCATGGCAAATAGATGGGGAAACAGTGGCTGACTTTATTTTTCTGGGCTCCAAAATCACTGCAGATGGTGACTGCAGCCATGAAATTAAAAGACGTTTACTCCTTGGAAGGAAAGTTATGACCAACCTAGACAACATATTAAAAAGCAGAGACATTACTTTGCCAACAAAGTTCCGTCTAGTCAAGGCTATGTTTTTTCCAGTAGTCCTGTATGGATGTGAGAGTTGGACTATAAAGAAAGCTGAGCACTGAAGAAATGATGCTTTTGAACTATGGTGTTGGAGAAGACTCTTGAGAGTCCCTTGGACTGCGGGGAGATCCAACCAGTCCATCCTAAAGGAGATCAGTCCTGGGTGTTCATTGGAAGGACTGGTGTTGAAGTTGAAACTCCAATACTTTGGCCACATGATGTGAAGAGCTTACTCATTTGAAAAGACCCTGATTCTGGGAAAGATTGAGGGCAGAAGGAGAAGGGGATGACAGAGGATGAGATGGTTGGATAGCATCACTGACTCAATGGATGTGGGTTTGGGTGGATTCTGGGAATCTGTGATGGACAGGGAGGCCTGGCATGCTACAGTTCATGTGGTAGCAAAGAGTCCGACATCACTGAGTGACTGAACTGAACTGAACTGAAATTGTTGAATAACATAGCATCTATAATTATGGTCTCTTAATTAATATTGTTTACTTACTCTTCTTTTTCCTTATTAACATTACCAGAAAACTTTTAATTTTATTAGTTTTTTCAATGACCCCCACTTTGGCTTTGTTTAATTCCAAATATTTTCTAATTTCATGTAATATATTCTACTCATTAATTTTGAGCCTTTTTTCCTACTCAAACATTTAAAGCTATGTTTTTTCCCTCATGAAATACTTTAATTGCATCCCTCAAATTTTGATATGTTAATTTTTCATATGTCATTCTTTTGAAGTGTTATATAATAGTCCAAGTTCCATTATGATTTCCCTTTTTTGTCTTGAATTATTTTAAATGTATTAAAAAGTTTCTAATAAAACAGATTTTAATTTGTTCTTTTTAGAAAAGTTGCATTTATCATATTGTTGCCAGAAGATGTGGCCTACAGAGAGCCTTTGAAATTTATTAGACTTGCTTTATAGCCTAGTGCATGGTTAATTTTTGTAAATAGCCCTTACATGTTCAACAAGTTGTTAGATGGAGTGTTCTATAATATGTCCTTTGGATTAAGCTTGTCATTTGTGTTCAAATCTATATCCTTGCTGCTTGTTCTTTATTCATTTGATCTATCAATTACTGAGAGAAGCATGTTAAAGTGTGTGAACATATAAATTTCTCTTAACAGATACCTCAATTTTGTATTCATATATTTTGAAGGTATAACACATACCTAAGAGTTTAAAATTATTATGTGTTCCTGTGAGTTGAAGCTTTTATTATTATGTAGTGACCATTTTTATTTCTAATAATGCTTTTTACCTTCAAGTCAATTTTGTGTGATAATTTTGCTATGCTGGCTTTCTTTTGATTAGTATTTGCTTGGAGGGAAATGGTTCCAAATGGTTAACAGTGGTAAATGCTAAGCCTTCCAGGCAAAATGAGTTGTCCCCCTTGTGGATTTTGACATTACTCTAGCAGAGTACTGGCTCAAAGCCAGTACTCACCACTCTACCTTGTAGACTTTGATTTGCTGGGGGTCAGAGACCTTTCTGTTTCTGGATAGAGTCATGATGTAAGCCAGTAAGGCCCATTACACAGAAGTGGCGGTTTACTGGAAGCAGGTTCTAGCCACAGAGTGTTGGTAGATCTCTGGGTTTGTAGGGCTGGATTCCCAGGGTGGGCTCTATCTTTGGAACCTAGTGTTAGGGCACATGGTATTTTGGCTAGATCAAGCCAGAGTTTATTAAGTGGAAACATCTTCAGAAACACCACTCCTTGTAAGAGCCTTGTGAGGGATGCATTATTGTCATTTGTGGCAAATTGTGGGGATTGGCTTGCTGCACCAGAAGGCACCTCTGGTATGCCTTCCTGGTCTATAGTGGCTGTCCAATTAAAAATGGCATTTTCTACATACCCTTGCACCTATGATTTTGGATGAAGTTTTAGTTTTATCACTTGTACTCCTGTGATACTTGTTAGTCATAGGGTTCAATATAGGGGGAGAGATTAGGTGTGAAGCAGCTATATTGCTAGCAAGGAAGATGCCACAGGTTAAAAGGGGCTGGAAGCTATATCTGGAAACTCAGCCTGGAGCCTAGTCATCTAGCCCTCCAGTGGTTTAGGAGGCTACTCATACTTAGTAATAAGCTTCTTTGTGTTTAGCAAGTTAGTGTGAATTTTTCTGTCTATAGTTGTGCTCTGACAGATGCACCCATTATATACCAGAGGAAGCTGAAACTGGAGCTAGGA